ATTCGACCACTGAAGATGATCTTGAGCCCACAAATATCGTACCTCCCGATTTCCTCTCGTTAAGGGTTGAGCTCTCCAGGGGCGTCTGCTTCTTAAGTTGACCTCTCTTAATCTATTGCGACCAGTGTCAGGACTAACGGTTACATTATGTGTTTCTTGGAGAATTAAACTAAGCTCTGGTGCTGTAAGAGTCGGTCGGCGTCGAGCATTTAATTGTAAAAAATGATCTTGCTGAGGGGTAGTAATGCGATGTCGCCCTGTGTGCCTTCCAGCAACATCACCACTTTCACGGTAGCGTGCACTTAATCGCGATATTACACTTTGCGTTGTATTTAATGCTCTAGCTACGTCGATTTGGCGCATTCCAGCTTCGAGCATACCCATGGCCCTTAGCATTTCGTCTCTGTTAATATGTCTACGCTCCATAATGTTGTTTAATACTAAACAGAGTTATTTGAATGAATTCTGACCAGTTATCATAAAAACATAGCCAGTACAGGTTAAATTCGAACAATTGATGCTAGGTGCTTTTTATACATTTGACAAAAAATGCACAAACACTTCTGCAAATATCCCAAATTTAAAAATAACTAGTGTGACTACTTCGTTTCAATCGAAGTATAGAAAGAATCGGCCTACAAATATGTGGTTGTTTATTCAAAACATTTATTTTTAAGTTTAATAAAATGATATCCCTAGATTTTTCCGGTGTGGTATTTACAATATTCTTCTCAGGTCTTTACCTGATGTGCTGCACTTTAAAAATTCAATCACAACCAAAAATAGCCAGACGGACACCTGTAACTTACAGACGAATTATTGTTTCGATACGTGACAACAACGTTTTGTTTTTAAGAAATAAAGGAACTAACTCTAGTAAATAATATACCTTTGTTCTATTGTAATTAGACGTTTTTTGGTTGAATACTGTTAGAATGGGTATGTCTGTACTGTCTGTGTTTCTTTTTTACAAAATACAGTCCCTTTAACAATGCTTTGTCTGACGTATAAGTTACCGTATTTACGGTTTCTTGTATCACGTTACATAGAAATTTAATTCTCTTTACTAGAATTATAATTTGTCTTTTTACATACAAACCTTAACAGAAGACAAAGAGAAGAAAGTAATTTATTATTTCTAAAATTGTTTAGCTAGAAATGTCAAATTGAATTAATTTGGAAGGGTTCAGCAAATGCAATAATTTAATAATTTAAATCAACCTCCTAAAGATTTATCTCGGAATTTATAAATTATTGTTTTTTTATTATGACAGTTTTTTATGTCTACAATTTTTATACAACTTCTATATTCTATAATTAATTAATAGTTGGAAGTAAGAATTATTCAAATAGATAGAAATATGGGATCAAATGTCCTACCCGCCGCGCCGCTTGGTGAAACAATGTATCCAAGAAAATAGGACAATGTCTATATCTATATTGAATGATGTTCTATGAGATCAAAACGTAAAAAAAATCAGTAAAATAGCTGTCATCATCATCATCATCATCTTATCCACTCTATCCTTTTATGGTCTTTCTTGGTTATTCCCAGTATATTTCATTTCATTGAGTGTTGTGCGACCTACAGTTTCCTTATAATGTCCGTTTTAAGTATCCACGTTTCGTATGTATAGGTCATAACTGGTAGTACACATTGGTCGAATATTTTCTTCTTTAGATAAAGTGGCATTCTAGAGTTGAATATGATTGAGTTTCTTCGATAAGTACGTTATTCTAACTTAACCTCTTGTTGATTTCTGGCAGTAGAGATCCCCAGTTGTGTTATTAGTTGTCCTAAATATATATATTCGTCTACTATTTCCCGTGTTGTATTATTTATTAGAATGCCTTTTCTGTCTACTGGTTTGTTGTACATTACTTTAGTTTTTGCTAAATTCATTTTGAGACGAACTTTATTGCTGGCTGTATTTAGTTTGTTAATCTGTACTTGTAGTTCTTGAAGACAATTGGCAATTAGGACTATGTCATCAGTGAATCTTATATGATTAAAATATTCTCCATCTATTTTTAATCCTTTTTATCCTTTGTTGGTCCAGTCCAGTTGGCGGAAAATTTCTTCTGGTGTTGCCGTAAACTGTCGTACTCGGTTGTTTGCCCGTTGGGAACTCTGGGGTTGTTTTATATATCACTACTCTTGCTTTAGCTTCTTTGTATACAGGGTGGTCCGAACTGTATTCCGGAAACTTCGGCAGCATATTCTGCAGATAAAAATAAGTAAAAAAGTTCGTATAAATGTATGACCTAAAATGCTTAGTTTCGGAGATACAGAGTGTAGTTTACTTTTTATTTCGATTTTTTCCAAAGAATTTCTGAAGTAACGTCAATATTTGGATTAAAATTGGTGTCTGGGTGTTTTCTGATATGAGAAATTTGATTTTGATGTTAATATAACTCCTATTTGTAGGGGGCGCCACCTACATGTGTTTTAACTGTTTTGAAGAGTAATCACTTTTCGTCTGTACCTATATAAAACTACTGAGTGAAAAAATATACATTTCCGTGTTTTTTTTTACGTAAAAACTGTCTATTGGTAAAAATCGCTGCCGGCTAAGGGTTCTCGAGATATTTGGAATCGAAATTATCAATACCTATCATCATTGACATAAATTAAACATGTTGACTAAATAGTTATTAGACTGAAATCATAAATTTGAAATGTTTTTGTGCCAAAAATTCAACAGAAACTGTTTTATCATATTTTTTTTGCAGAAAAATTTATGATTAATTTAAAAGCCAAACAATTTCCCAAATGTATTATTTCAGTCAAATAAGTATCTACTCAATGTGTTTATTTTTTGTCAATGACATGTATTGACTATTTCCATTCTACATATCTTGAGAACGGTTGCTCGTAGCAATTTTTACCAAGAGACATAATTTACGTAAAAAATCGCGGAAATGTATATTTTTTCACTCACTGGTTTTATACAGGTATCTAAGGACGAAAATTTATTACTCTTCAAAACAGTTAAAAAACATGCAGGTAGCATCCTCTTCAAATATTGTTTCGTTATGGTTTCTATTATTGCCTTAGGATATATTAAGTCGAAAGTCTTCTCAAAGTCTATAAAGTCTCTCAGTGTACAGGGTGGGTCAAATTGGACGCTTTTAAAGGGAAACACCCTTTTTATAGGACGAAAACTAATATCGGTGTCTAGAGCTCAATTTTTATCAAAAACATGATGGTGAAAACCGCACATCGATATCTGTTACCGTTTCGGAGTTGTGGGGTGTTTTTCAAAAATGTGCATTTTTAACAAATCGCTGTAACTTTTTTTGCTATGGAAAATTCTGTATTTTTATGAAAACATTTCCAAAGCACCTTTTTACGTAGACTTTAATAATTTAAATGTATCTTTTTTAAAAATTAATACTTTAAGAGTTATCAACAGAAAATTTGATTTTTTTGGGACACCCTGTATATTTTTAATTAACTGAAAAGAAGTTAAAATTACCTTTCCAAAAATATAGCTCACTTGATATTTTGTTATAATCCCCTTCGAAATACAACTTTTTTAAAAGTTCGCCACTTTTAACTAGTAGGCTTTGGACCTCTTTTTGATGATCTAATTGATTTGCCCCTAATGGAACTCGAAAACATATTTTTCCAGCTAGACAAGGCACCGCCTCAGAACGCTGAAGTTATCAGCAAGTTTTTGCAGCCGATCAGGAATAATTGAATATAATAATATAGCCTCGAATATAGCTAACCAAGATCCCAGCCGTTGGCCGTCGAGGCCATCGGACTTAGTGTCTATGGATCTAATCCTATGGATATCTTTGTTCTTATTTTTAAATTGCTCGTATAATCTAGACAGAATTAGAAGTACTTAGCGGTTATGCGGGGGTATCTTTCACCTCCACTGAGTTAATAAATTCTGCGAGAAATATTCAAAAACTGCCCCGTTTGTCCATAACAGAAGACGGTTGATATATCGAATACCTGTAGCAAAATCTCATGTCTTGGTTTGCTATTAATTTTCATTGTTATTGGAAATTATGGAACACCCTTTTCTCTTTAAAAGCGTCCAATTTGGCCCACCCTGTACGTATGTGGTATGTGACCAATCGCGCTGAAGACGCTTCTAAAGCCTGCTTGTTCTCGTGGTTGTGCAGAGTCTATCGTGTTAGTTGTTTATTATTTTTGTGAATACCTTGTATGTTACTGGCAGTAGGCTTATTGGTCTATAGTTTCTGGCGTCTCTCTTATGAATTAGAATTATGTTAGCGCTAGTCCAGTCTTGCGGTATATGTTTTCTCATTAGACAGATGATGTATATATTTGCTGGATTTCCAAGTTCTCCTGCCGGCGTACTTAAGAATTTCAGCTGATATTCCGTCGTTCCCTGCTGCTTTTCCGTTTTTCATATCTTGAAGAGCCTTGATATACCGGAAACAATTTTAGATTGTCTTACGGCTTGACTTTGACAATGTGCGTCTCCCCGAAAAGGCTAGTGTTCCAATGGTGTCTAAGATTAGATTACTTTGTATAATAATTAAAAGGAAAAAACTTATAAAGTAAAATGGAAAATGCATTTAGGACTGAGTATCAAAAATACGAAGAATATGAATATTTAACAGGAGTTATCGTTTCATTATTCTTTCGCCGTTAATTTGATACAATTTAAAAAGATGAAAGTTTTGGATTATCTACTATCCATTCAAAAGCAACCGCGAATATTTCGTTTTGGTCAACAAAGACGCCGTTTAAGCTTCCAAAACCACTGTCGCCTCCTCTCCTTCCTCACCTCGAAATCCTCATCAGAGGCGGCGGCGATTTCGACGACCGACCGACTCGAGCAACTGACCGGACGAGCCATCGGCGGCGGCAGCCAGCGAGCGCAGCACGAGCAACAAGTGGTAGCCCGAGGGCGCCGAACCACCGAGCGGCTGCCCGCGGCTCTTCCCTCGCCGCGAAGAGCCCCCCGAGCCAATCGCCATTGGTCCGGCGGGATGCTGGGCCCCGAGGAGCGAAGAGGGAGGCCCTGCGGCTGCGCCGACCCCCAGTAGTCGTCCGCACGTCGAAGAGTTCGCGTGTCTCCGCTGTCTATCGCAGCCGCTCGCTTAACTTTCGCCGGCCGCCGAAAATCCCGCGACGCTACAACCGTGCGAACGGAGCCTTAATGCAACCCTTTCGCTATCTGTTTGATCGCTCGTCGCTACCAGTGTTTGGCTAATGCCCACCCTTAGGCGTCTCGATTGCTCGCTTACCATTTGGTCATCAAGTACAGTAATACCGGAGCTTTAACGAAAGACATACCGTGTGATTCGAAGGACCATAAACTTTAATTCATTGAAGACTTTTTAGTAATGCTACAGCGTTTTCAAAAAAGTGCGCCAAAGACTATAAACTTGTGTGTTTACCTTTAGGCATATCAGGATATTACATTGATAGTGATTAACAAAAGTTTAAGACATAGATATTTTATGGTATCTGGGACTGACTGTTGTCTCGGTGGTAGTGTGAAGTACTGACTGGATGGTGCTGGTACCCGATGAGACCGCCCTGCGGGAACTGTTGCAGTGATGATGTGTAGTGTGGTGTGGAGGTTGTTGTGTAGGAGCATGACCGATGGATATTTTCTTTTGCAATTTTTCCTGCTGCTGACGTTATTGCAGGTAAACAATCATGTTGCCCATCGTGAAGTTGGGGATCGTATGATATGGTCGCTAAGACGTTTTCTGTTGGAGGTCTTTTAGAGTCGCATAAAAAGCCGTTGATAAACTTTTACATGCTTAGTTTGTGGTCTGATATAAAAGTTATCAAAATACTGTTTAGAGAAGGGTTTATTTCTGAAAAAAGCCTGGATGAAAACTTTTTTTTTTCTGGCTTGTAATAAAAGGATAGTTATTTTTGGGAAAATTTGTTTACAAGTGAAATGCCACCCAGGAGTTAGTTTCTGTTTAGATTCTATCCAAGTGATATTTTACATTTTTTTTTATTTCTGTTTAGCAAAAGAGCTACCTATTCCGCCTTTTAATGTTATTTAAGAATAACATCTTAAATAACATTAAAATTTATTTTTAAAAGTTATAGAAAATATTTTTTTATAAAGGGTTGTCGTATACAATTAAATTATGTTCCAATATTTTTTTTTATATTCGCTGCTTTCCGACAAAAGCGGCACAACTCAAAATTAATAAACTTTACAGTAGAGGCAACTAAAAAATCATGTTATGTTTTCTTACACAACCAGTTTTTAACTAATCCTTAAAATTGGATTTGATCGTAAGTAAGTATAGTTTTAAGTACATTTTAATACATATTGCCTTTAAAAAGTTAGTATTTAATGTTTAAAATACGCTTTTATATTACTATGGTTTAGAAAAACCTAAAACCATGAGGTTTTGAGTAGCGCCGCTTTTGTCGGAAAGCAGCGAATACTTATATTAGGTATATTTTATTATCAAAACAAATACAGTATTCACTACTTTTAAAGGTTTTGTTTTAAATCTGCCGATTGGTATTTTTTAGTTCTTTGAATTTATAGTTATTAAATTATATATGGAGTTTTGTTGATGGAAAGCTTTCAAATACCTTTTTTAATAGAAAGACAGACAGTCGAGTCTTTTTATTAAAATTAATATAATGCACCTAGACGAATTGAATTATAAACTTTTTACAATCATCATCCATGAAAAAAAAAATTAGGCTTATAAAGCTTCAAAACGCTTACATAGCTGCAACAAAATTTAGCAGTCTTTTGCAAACCAAAATCAATGATACTCTAGTTTGTTTTTTTATTAAAATGTGATATTAATTATTTTATAGTAAATTTCGTGGAAACAGAATAAAACAATTTTCATCAATTGATGTAAAATGCATATTAAATGGTTTAAATAAAAGTTGAATTACATTGTTACCAATAGATTAATTTTAATTATTTTCTACAATACCCGAGACAATACTTCTATGAAAAATCGGTGCTATAGTAACAATGAAAAATACTGAAATTGAAGCAAGCTCGTGTTTAACCTGAATATGAAATACAAAAGCTGATATAAACGTTTAAGGTCATCAAGAATCTATTATCGGTATACCTATATAAAAAAATAGATATACTATAACCTCACTAGAAAAATGTTTGTCTAAATTGGAATCAAAAAAATTAAAATTGTGTTTAATCCCAGGTTTAGTCTTAAGTTGGTACTCCGAGAGGTACTATTTTTTAAGCTTATTAGGTATTAGAACTTCACTGTCGAAAAAAAATATTTAAATAATATTATATTAAAATATTTAAGGTAGTAGATATTTATATGTGTGAGGTTCAAGTTAACGTCTCCTTTCTGCTGCAATGGCTAAACTGGACGGGACCTACTTGTTTACGCGGAATCCGAACCGCGGTCCTCGGCCATATCATGGTCAATGGCCTACCGACTTAGGAAGTGTCTAAATTAACTCTTACTCACGAGATATCCGATCTCATCCGGCCTTGAACCGGCGTGAATGAGCAGTGTGTATCAATAGATTTTACACTTTTCCCTTTTTGGACAACAGCACGATGCAAAGTTTCGAACCGGTCACCCGTCCATCCACTAGCATCGCCTTACGTCGCTTAACTTCGGTGTTCTAATGGGAACCGGTGTTTCGACGTAGCTGGGCCGTTGCCCCCTATTTATATGTCTATTAATAAAGCGTTTGCAGTGGTCAATATAGTTAAAAAATACTTTTATATAAAAAGAAATTGATAAACTGTGAATTGTAAGTCTGTAAAACTCTAAATCTTTTTTTTTTATTCTAATTTTATTTAATTTGCATATAATTAGATACTGTGTTTCGTGATCGAATGTAGGTGATACTGATTTTCTCTGTGTAGATGATTTATTAAAAGTTTTTTGTTTCTTTATTATTTTAAGACAAAATATTTTTACTTCAATAAAATAATATAACAATAAATCTCTGATATGATATTATAACGCACTATCTAAAAAATCATTATTAGTAGGTACTTTTTGTATGTAAATAATAATAGTAATAATAAATCGCTTTATTGGTAATTAAAGATATTAACACGTTAATTAAAGATATTAACACACATACAAATAACGGCGAGATCTACTAATCTAACGGTCGATATGCTTATACCATAAAAATAAACAAAAAAATATTTTTAATCATGTAAGAAATTAATTTTAAATTTAAATAGAGCAAAGTTATGTTTCAGATTATGTTAAAAATTATATCATCATAATTCTCAGCTTATTCAACCATTTCCAGTTGCTGTATTCCAGAGAGTATTTAGATACTCTCTTTGTATATAGTTGGGCCCATCGTTGTCTATTGTTGGCTATGCCCAAGTTATCCCTGCTAATTTCCTAATATCATAGTCCCATGTCAGATTTGGTCTTCTTGTAAGTCTTTTCATTCCTCGTGGGTGTACAATTCCTATAATTTTTGTGGTCCATTTCTTGTCCGTCCTTCTTGCCGGGCGTCCTGCCCATTGCCACTTGAGGGACTTGATTCTATGTGGATGATATCTATTACCTGAGTCTTTTGTCATATTCGCTCTATTCTTCTATGGTTTTTCTATGCTTGGAATAGCATATTTTGTGTCATTGAGGGACCTGCAGTTTCCTTATAATGTCCGTTTTAACTGTCCATGTTTTGCATGCATAGGTCATGACTGGTAGAGTACACATTGATCGAATGTTTTCTTCTTTAAATAAAGTGGCATTCTAGATTTAAATATGATTGAATTTCTTAAAATATATAATATATTAATAATAAATATAAAAACTAGTAAATAATGGAATAAATAAAATATGGAAAAAGGAATTGCTCATTAAATATTGTTTTTTCTTTTCTTAAAAGTAGATACTAGATTCTAAAATTAGTGTCCGGTAATGAATTACTGTACAACTTGCATTATAGATGATGCATTATAGTTAAATGATCGCTGAAATGTAGACTAATAAAACCGAGAATAAAACATACTTTGTAATTTTGAAACCTAGAATCATTATCAGTTTCGAAAGTCTTATTCTGTTGTTTCAAAGAGGCACTTAAACCACGCAGGTACATAAATATTCTCTATCATATATGACTCTAATAGTCTAATCATTTTTTACTCACTACCGCCATAGTATTTCAACTGGTTATTGTCGTCGTAGATGTGCCCTGTTAACAAAAGAATCACGTCAATAAATAGATAAAACCGAAAGAATTTCTATTGAGAATTTTTCCTGCTATTAACTGGCAGGAAATACCGAAGTAACAGATACGGCAAACCGAGAACAGACGTAAACGTAACAAGTTATTGTTGGTATCGATTTTATTTTTTGGAATCTGTAGTTTTTAATAAAGCGATTTGTAAGTAAATGAAAACATTATACGGCTGGAACGAGGCTTTTAACATTCAGATAGATATTCAGGTACGTTTACAGAAATCGATAGATATAAAACAATCGTTTACTGTTTAGCAGGAGGTATTATTTAATAAAAATGTTAATAAGCGTGGATAATTTAAGAATTAAAATTAAATGGTTTAGCCTTATTAAAATATTAATCCTTTTTAGAATGGAATCTCTAAGAAAACATGTGAGACATTTATTCAATTCATTAAAATACTCGACTCTTTCAAAATTATTATTTATCGATGATATTCTTGTACAAACAATAAAACAGTTTGTAGTTTTTTGTCGTTAAGCATGTAGAATGTTTAGGAGAAGAGTTCAATCACCGCAACCTTACTGATCTATTGTGTGGTCGTCTTTCTTGAGCTATAATGAGTTATAACTCATCATACAGTCTCAGAGCTTTGACAAAAGCTACTATCTGAGATGGCTCCACAGAAGTCACAGCTCTCCATCTTCGACATCAGCCGTAGCAAAGTTTACCTATGGTACCTATGGTTGTCGTCTCGGCACACTCAGTGATAAGATGTTCTGGTGTTTTCCCATTTTTCTCACAGAATCTGCATTTGCCGTTGTTTCTCAGCTTCAATCTACTGAAGTGTTCGTTGAGGAGACTTTGTTCTTATTTAAATCAAGGAAAACCTTTGATATTTCTCGGTCGTAATTTCTGAGAAATTTTTTCGAGTGTGGAGGATTCCCATTCCAGGTTAGGGATGGGGTCTATCAGGTTCTTGACTTCCGCTTTAAGTTGGTTTCCACTTAGAAACCTGAACGGTTCTGGTCCAGTTAGTGGAGTGTTCGCTACTTTTCTAGCTAGATCGTTTGTTTTTTCATTGCTTTCTATCCCTTGGTGAGCGGACACCTAAAGTAGGAGAACTTTATTTTCTTTGCTTAATTTGTTGAGCTTATCTAGGCATTCTTTGACCAACTTCGAATTGATGTTTACTGAGTTGATCGGTTTTAGTGCTGAAACATGGGGGGTATTATAAATCTAAGGCTTATCAACGACTGGTAGACGTATCGGATTTTGTTCTCTGTCTTATAACAGGAAGACGATTGATTGATCAAAGAATAGGTTCATTAAGAATCAGTTTTTTGTTGTTTCAATTTAAATTAAACTTTATTTTCTATTAAATAATTTAGAGTAGATTATTTACGTATCAGTTAAATTACGAAATCTTGCAGTACCTATTGTTAAGGGTTTGAGACATAACAATTAGAAACAAACCGTGAGAAAGACCTTAGCGATGGTTGGTACGAAAAAA